GAAATGAACTATTCCGCATACCATACTAATTAATAATCTGATTGAGTCTTAGCTAATATTATTGCATTGTTCCTTAATAATTATATATAATTAACAGGGTTAAAGGAATACTATAACTATCAAATCTGATCGTTGGACAACCAATATAACAGAATAGATCATATTATAGTCTACATCATAGCGTTAAGTACAGCTAGTGGAGCTCGTGAATTACTGTACTATACATGATGTGTTGGGGGAAATTACTGCAGGTATACAGTATAAGCCTACTCAAGGAAATAAGTTACCGTTAAGAACATGAAATTCAGACATTGCCGTAGCCTATTTTAAAATTTCAAGCGCTAACCTAATTATTATTTGCATACATATTGCAATGAGGGGCGTAATATTGTACTCTTGACTAATCAAAGTTTGTATAAAGGTATTAATACGACAACATGAGCAGGCAATCAGTACTGATTTAGCGCAGTAATTATTTGCTCATTTTTAAATATGTGAAGCACTTTCTAGTTACGGCTGCTGTTATGTATTCAGTATTATTAATATTATTGTTATTAACATTTCGATGTTGGTTCTTATTGTAAACATATTATGGTAAACATGTTGATGCCAGTTACACTTTTGATGTTATTTACGAGAATATTATGTAACTATTTAAACCAGTTACTTGCACATCTGGGAGGGTTTTTTCCAGATTACATGTTAGAATGTAAATAAAACTCATACATATTTCAATACAGGTTTTCCAGTACTAACCATTCCTCATCCAGTTTACAACAGCTACAAAAGGGATAATTATTGTAGATGTTTTAGCCAACCTGACTTTCGTCAATACACATTTGCCATAAAGTTAATTTAGAATAAAAATTTGAAAAAAACTAATAGCATGATACTTGAGATTACCTTCGCCTGTTTTCAAACTACACTCTCCAACCTAATCACTGATGCCATATTATTATATTACCGAGAATCTACAAATAGGTTAGGAATTGGTGACAAATATTTTCATCTTCATTAACGGTGCATAATAATAATCGATACGATCGCTAGCTGTAATAGACTCGGTGACCGAAACGTTGATATCGATTGTATGTAAGCAATATTTGTTGATAACTCATACGATACAAAGACCAGGTAATACTTAATTAGGTAAACTATTTCAATGAAGAAAAGCTATTTCTATTTCGACTAATCCGGCATTGAAATTATTCATTTTAAGTAATCTATTTAAAAATTGAATCTGTACTGACTGCAAAGTCAATCGGGAGTTTATTTTTTATACAGGATATCAGCTAATGTAGATAAAGGATTTCATATCTGTAGGTGAAAATCCATCATTTCATCAATACTCAATGCACGACCTTTTATGAATCCTTTTGGTACCATAGTTAATGAAAACGATACTATTTAAATAAGTATGTATTGTAATTGTTCGATTTCGGCCTACTACAAAGTGATAATATAAAATAATATGAAGGATGATCAATAAAATGTCGTGACATGCTAACGCACATCTTCCTTGACGACAAATGTAATAAATAATGACTTATAGTGATTCACATTTAGAGCAAGTTAACTTTAATTTGTCTCACCTTTAAGAACCGTACAATTATTCACGGAAATCCGTATAATATCGCTATAATAATCCGCAAAGCTTTACAAAGACTGATATGTTTAAGTTATGTCGGGTATCGTAATGAAATCGTGATGTACTCTATTCTCTCTAGCCCGTTTAGTATCGTTCATGCTAAAATTACTGAGTGGGTAAAACTTGCAGTTTGGTACTACAATTTACAAATGAATAAGACTGCGATGATTACTTGATTTGTTACCATAAAACGATTGCCCTAAAAGAAGGCGTAGTAGTGCAATTAATTCGATATTTGTATCATGTCAATAAAGGTAAAACTAAACCATATTTATGATCAATTATCTGATCAAATACAATGGATAGGTTGCATTGCGCTCAGAGTACATAAAATAGGAGTCATATATCGATAGGCAAGGAAGGATTCCTTCAGCGGAAATGATGATAAAAATTTTTATTCTGAACTTACATCGCTAAATGTAGCAGCAGACTCTATTCTATAGTATATTGAAGTTACTGTGTTCTTTTTTCTATTGAACACATGAGCTGGTTCTAATACACTTTATTTTTCATATATAAGAACTATTTATATCACACGCTTAAAAATCAAATGTTAATCCTATCATGTATAGAGCAACAGAACTTAAATAGGAGTAGTCATCAGCTATAAAGAGCAGTCATCAGCTATATTACATCTCACATACTGTATAGCTGGGTGCCAATGAGTTATTTCCAATTATTAATCTATTCCGGAAATACGCGTACGCTTAACAAGTGAAAAATATAACTAGAAATACTTTAGTCTTACGTGTTACAAGGTAAATGTTCTTACTACATTCTTTCATTAACTACGTTCTCTAACTTACTACTAATCTATAGCTTAAATATTTTTAAATATTGTATAAAATTTATATACTGAGTTAAAATTATAACTTTGTATTAACTAAGGAAACCCTTTGGTTGAACAACTAGCTGGATAGTATTTTATTTCAGTTTTCCGTGTTTACTACCACAGTAATAGATACAATTAATATTACTCACTTTCAGTAGACGTCATCGGTATACAGTTAAAATATCTTACGAAGGTAACAGCATATCTTAGAAATAGCGGGCTAAGCAAGTTATTTACGTCCTACTCTTTCACTGAGTATGTATATTTTACCCATTTAAATGATCAATTTCATGCACCTAACCTTGATCGTTATTAGTGCTTAATGCTTTCTGACTTTTGATACCTGTAAGATTATTTTCAATTCAAGCAGTAAGTATGGATATTTCTCTTTATTTGATTAATTTCATAATAAATACTAACTATCTTAGTGATCAGTTTTACTGCAGTGTAAATACTGGTCTTGATGATGCAACAACTCCAATATTAATTTAGTAAAGAATTCAATTAAAATTTTCTATTTTAAGTAGATTGTGGCGGTATTTACCAGTAGCTTTGGTTGCTTCATCCGGGTCGATGTTTATCTTTTCCGCAACTGCACGTAAATTAGCTTTATAGAGAGCTTCAATTAGCTTTAACTTGGTGAAACTTGAGCCTTTCGTATCATGTTGTTCATATAACATCTCCGCACATTGTTCATTGACATCATCAGCATTATTAGCCTTTATAGTTTTAATTTGGTTCCGATTAAAATGTAGCACCCTTGCTAAGTTTCGCCATTTTGTGCCAATGTCATCGACAATAAGGTTAAAATACTGTTGTGCAGCTGTCGTTACGTAAAGAGAAACATAGATATTTTATTATTTGTACTGTGATGTTGAAGACAGTGTTGATGGTTAGACATGAAAGACGATAATGAATAAGTGCTATATCGGTAACTGTAGTTGCAAATTACTAGCAAGTAGTGCTTACGCGAATCTGGATTAGTCACTTTTACACTTTCTGTCTCACCATTACCATTAGAAATTTGGAATGTTCTGATAACAATAATAGTAGTTTAATTAACAGTCATGTAATAGTTAGATTTGCACAAAAAATGACGAAATTTGGCAAGACATTAATCTAAGATTAATTGAATGCCTGTATTAGTGTATTATTAACTCTTGATTGTCAAGTGTATATTTCGTCGTAAAATACTACTGGTTTCACTTATATTCTGAACTGCGCCTCGAATTTACTAAATTCGGTTTAAAATTTTCAGAAATTAGCAAGAAGCTAAATTACTATGAAAATATCCTGATATCTGCATAACGATCACGCCCCAATGATGTTAAAATAGGGATAGACACAGCTAATTATGAACAAAGTTATCTAACTCGATTTTACTAGCTACGATAGCACTCCGAATCACTTACGAATGGTTTGGTTTTAAGTTACCGGAAAAAAAACTATTGCATTGCGATAATGTCTAGACAGCTGGATATTACCTACATAATTCGCTTTGTGGTAATGGTCAAGCTTAACTTTAGGTCTATATCGTGTCTAATTATTTAATGTGTGATGTTATGTTGCATCGATACTCGGTGAGACATTAAGTAATGAGAAAGTGAAGAAGCAGTTTACCAGCTGCTAATTTACGGTAATTTGACTGAAATTCTCATAGCTTAGATGGTTAATATAATATAATACGGAAATTAACGAAAATATATGGTGGTTGCTAGCAAGAAACTTGTAATGTACAGTAGATACTCCTTTTTTAAGTCTACTATCATAATTTCATTTTTGTTGTAGGAGAATAACGAATCATGCGAATGTTATAGAATACACGTAGAAATTGCGCAGTAACCATAAGATAATTATAACATAACCTGGAAATAGCCGATATCAGTACTTATCTTATCTAAAATCTGATATATATTTGCATAGATAACCGAACGTTTTGATAATGTTATCGAAGTAGGGCTCATCGATATTTATGTACATTAACTATGTGATTTGAATGATGCCATTTCAATAAATTTGAGAATCTTCAGTTTAGCCTTACAAGTCTACCTGACTACTCAACTGATCTAGTAAGCAGTCCAGTTCAAGCTACTGTCGATAATCGTAATTTATTGTTGTTGATCTATTTACGGGTAATTTAATTTAAGTTGGTGATTTCTATAAAGATTGAACACCTAATTCTTGGTAAGTTGGCATATTGACTGCAGACAAACTGATATAGATGCTAAGTAATGGAGTCTTTTAAGCCATTTCATAACAAGTTATCGAGTACAAAATAGAAATTGACGATGAACGCTTCTTAAGAATGTATACTTACGGTATATCGATTGGAGGTGGCGAATTTTGATTTGAGATGGATTTGTTCTTTGGTTTTGAAGATATTTCCGGTTGTTGCTCTACCAGTGGTTCAATGCTAAATATTAGTAATGTAACATTTAAAATTCCGTAAAAGGTCTATAATTTTAGTATCAAGTTTATCTGATTTGCTTCAGTGTTACTTATGATAGAATCTGTAGTAGAATTTTAGCTGGCAGTTTGATAGCAAACTAGTGTACTATGTTCTAATCGTCTTTTAACATACGATACATAATTTAAATACTTTACAACAAACTATAGGAATTTCAAATATTTCGCCAATACGGTCATCTTTACAAATGTTTTTGTAAAAGACTTGTACAGCAGAAGTAATATAGTACATTACTAAACGATATAAACCTGCTATATCGCAATAGCTTGGAAAATATTTACTGCTTGAAAACTAAAGATCGATGCATGTTCTAACGATTTTTTTATTATTGCTACAAATCGATATTCGTCAAAGAAGAAATAAAATGCTTTTAGCAACTTAACATTAAAGCCTACTAATAGATCTGTCCTCCCAACATCCCACACAGTACAATTCTAAATATTAACAACCTTGCCATCGTCAGGAGGTTGTCATAAACTGCATGTCTCTTCTAGATAAACTGAGCCTCCTGATAAATTCATAACAGCTATAAGTTTATTATTACGTTACAATTATATTAGTGTTGAAATTTCTATGATTAAAAAGGCTCATGGTCATTTAAATATCACTACAGCATAATAGAACATTAGTACGGTACATAGATTATAATGTTATACAAAATTATTGATATGCCAAATAGGTTCATATCTTAAAAAGTTGTGTTGTTACTACTTGAGTATGTACTGTAATAAGGGTACTTAAAGCTTTTTAAAGGCAACACTTGATAATACATAATTTAAGGTCTAAAGTGCAAATATTGCGATTAATGGCACAGGAAAGTGTTTGAAACATATTACAATTAGCTTTTGATTATAATTGCCTAGCCAGTCGATAAGCGAAATGATAGCAAAAATATAAAAATAAAACTAGCAACCTTTAGTTCCAACTATATCTCAAAGTAGAGGTGCGACCGAGCATGAATGAGAACGATGACCAGTAATATTTTAATTCATTAAAAGTCCTTTCCCTGCATATTTGTAATCCGATGTCATGTATGCTATCATTGCGTTCAATAGTCTGAACAGTGTCTGATTTTAAATTTAAGCATCGATGATTATTTATAGTACTGGTAAATTGGTAAAATAAATAATTAATAATAATCAATTAACAGCATCCTTGACATTATAATAACAGTACAAGTTATTTAAATCTAATAAATACAAAGATTGCACTGAGTTTATGAGTTAACATTCATTTCCCAAAAGAGAATATTTTGGAGCACCCGTTATTTATAAAAGTCGAGAAAGCTATTTACCTTTATTTTCTGCAGTTTTATTAGCCTCTTTTTCTAATCGTTCACCAAGTTCCCGAACACTACTAATATCGCTCTCTTGTAGCAAGTGACAAAATTGATAAAAGTTATCATCGCTTCTTGATTCCAGTACTTTTAGAAATTCAAAGGCTCGTTCTTTGTCAGTTTTACAGTCATCTCTCAGTTTTTTGACTTCTTCATTAGATAAAATTTGTCGAAAACGTAGATCATATAGTATATCTACCAAAGGGACACTTGTGCTTATTTCTGAACAGTATTGGTCAATGATTCCTTTAATAGCTCGGGTTACAACCATTTTATACGTAGCTGTTACTCCTATATGAAAATATACAAGATCCAATTTAAGATAAATTGGGAGCAATACATACGGTATACATGTATACCGGATATAAATTAAAATTAGCTATGAAAACGAAGTACTTTAAAAGGATAAGTTTAGTTTCAGTCAGCTATTTCGCCTACATTCCTTTACAGCATTATGCTGATTCTTTTAGACTAAGTTAATTGCTATCTCATCGCTTACGGTATAAATTATCTTGCGAATTATTAGAGTTATGATAGTATTGTAGTACGAGATAAATGTTAATTACGTATTCAACAATTCAATTGATTTCATCAAATGAATGAAGTTGATACTTGCTATATTATTAGGAATATAAGTGAAATTTTTGGTAGATTAATTGATAAGATTTTTTATAGCACAATGGAGAAACAATGAAAATGATCTTTTTACATTTACTTCAAGGACGATTTTTCAGTTGAAAAATGAAATAGTATTGTAATATTTCAGTTCTATTCAGTTTTACTGGTAGCCATTGAATGTTAATAACATAAATTCTGTACTAGCGAAGACTGAAGTCAGCAATCAAAAGAATCGCCATTTTGTACTTTATGAACTAATAATGCATACTAGAGTAACGTGATGTATAATTATAATGGATGCTAGCAATTCTTACAGGTGCATTAAAATATTTAATTTGTAACCTGTTATGGTATATGTTGTATCTAATTCCACAATCCTATTCTCTGCATGTGCTCTATCTTTAAAACTATAAATACCGGCGATTTCTAACTCAGAGTTCATTAGCCTCTCAGTTAGTCTTCTAGTTAGTCTCTCACAGTCTAATACTTCTACTCGTTACTCACGACAGCTTGCACGCTGATCTACCGTAACTACCTCACTGTACTTCACATTACTAACCTACAATAAAGCATAACTTTTATAAACCCTTTGTTGTAATAATTGTAAATGGCGACTAAATCTCAATCCTCTGAGATATCGAACCCTCCATCACAGTCTTACTGATAAAAGATGAGAAATATCTTAATCAAAGCACTAATCCATGATAAGTAATAAGTAATAAGGATATGGTTGCTTTATTTTCCTCAGAATCAGTTTTGTAGTATCTGTAATATAATACTTTTTGTTAAACATGATTCTTATATAGATTAGCCTGAGCCGATACATCTGCAATATGATGTACTTTATTTTCTTCAAAATCAGTTATTACTTGCATCGCACGCCAGTTAATACTGAGTTGCATCAAGCCTTAGCATCCTAACTTTGCAGAAATTTGGAGTTTCTACGTAAATTAGTAATACCTTTGTTTAACTTTTTATAAGCTATCAACTGTAGTAAGGTAATTAAATAGTAGTAAAATCATAAATTACTGCAATTATTATTTATGTATCCGTTAGTGAAACAAGTTATATGCTTAAATACATGAAGAATCCGCTAACTTTAAATCGATAGTAAGTATACTCATATGCTTTCTCCAGCCGAAACACTAGTAACGGAGCGACTTTTCAGGCCAAATAATCTACCATAAATAAGAGCGATTTGTGAGCCATTTAAAATTCGCAATCACTGTAATTATTTCATGCCTGACCCACAATACCGAAAACTAAATAGAGTATGATAGTTTGGTTTCGAGATAGTCATTGCAAGAGTATACCGTACGTTACATTATTGCAGTAGTAAAATATACTAAAATATGTACTTAGAACTGAAAATGATCGCAGTTACCTCTCAAGTTTAACCATTTTCTCCTACAAGTAAATCTCGTAATAGACGATAAAACTGTCAGCGATTTGAGAAAAAAGTGATTTACGAAGATCTACAGTATAATCTTGTTGACTAAATAATCAATTTTTATCATATACGTACATGGACCGTATCATATCCTAAACGATCCATCTAACCTAATTTGAGTGATTTCCCATTGGTGAAATGATACGCTGCAATATATTTTTATTGACTTTTAAACATAATTAACTCCTACTGTAGTAAAAGGACTAAAAGTACAGTCCTTTGTAGTTTTTAGTATGTAATTAGTATTATTTTACTATACAAAATACCTACAAAGTGATAGTGTCTTTAAGTTTTACCCTGCCAGCCAAATCATCATGTCGCCATCTTTTCTTCTTCATTATTTTACAAGGTATTATATAGATTACTATAGAAGTAGCCCTATAGAGCAAATGCCTAATCTAAAGAAAGGGCGTTTCATCGTCTATTCAAATTGTAAAGAAATTTGACTTAGTAGCAAAACCCTATCCTTAGAGAAAGGGGATTTATAACATGACGATAAAGTACTGTAATGTAGTCTATACTCGTACAGTTACAGCACAATCTGACGCTAAAACATCAACTGTCAATACTCGCGAATACTAAGCGATACTAATGTCAGAAAAGTAGTCGTAGTAGTCATATAAATTTTTTTGATAAGCGATTACTGTGATCTTCATAAAAAGCGAATTTTTCCGGATTTGTGTCCGATATAGTTTTCGGATTCTGGGACCGGTCAGGTTTGTGTCCGATATAATTTTCCTGTTTTGGAACCGGTCGGCTTTATTTTTAATTTATGTCTGAATTATAATTTTTCTGTTTTAATTTTTGGATTTTTGTTCATGAAAAATATCGTAAGAGTTGATTTTTGAGATTTGGACTTTTTGTTATGAATTTGAAACTTTGGAATTTTATGACGTGACTTGAGTCACGTTAGGAGATTTAGTGAGGAAAATAGAAAATAAGATGGAAATTGGCAGAGGTTGTGTTGATTGTTAGGTAGTTAGAATGTTGTTTTTATGACTAAATCTTGATGTTTAAAGGTTAATTTTTAGCTTTTTATAGTGTATTAATGATAGAAATTATGTTAGAAATGAAGTTTGATGTATTTTTATAGTTAGCTTGTTACTTTTATAGTGTTTTGTAAGGGAATGGTAGGGTTAATTGTGTCTGAACTTTGAATGATTTTTGTTTTCTTAAATGGTGCAAAGTAGTTTTCTAAAACGGATCTTAAGAGCGATTGGTTAGCAAATGTTTAGTTTTAAATACCTCTGACGGCTCTACGAAGCCTATAAATGATAGTGCAATTAGAAAATTTAGGGAGAGAGTAGAAGAAGATTTTATTTGAAGAACTTGTTGAATTTAAAAGGCCTTCGGGGTCGAATTGTCGTAAGTTAAAACGTTCTTCTTTTTGAAAGGTTGTTTGGTCGTTGATAGTTTTTAAGTCTGTAATTTATTTTAATAATACTTAAAGCTAAGTATTTGTGCGGTTGTTCGGTTTATACTTCTCTCCATTTTTGTTTTGAAATAAATTGTTGTTCGGTTATTTCCCCAAATTTTATTTGGTGTCAAAGTATTAGCGCTAAGTCGACCGGAGTGCAACGAAAGTAGAATCAAAGTTTGTTAAAGTTTTGTAGCTTGATCTCTACATATTTCATTTCATTACACTACATTGTAATTAATCATATAAGGATTTATTTCTTCTGTTATCCCATTTATTTTGTAAAGAGGTAATGCAAGTGAATGGGAATAGCCTTCAACTTCATAAAGAGGCACTGATCATATTTAATACGAAAAAAATGATTAACTACATAAACCCCAGAATGATTCTTTGTAAACCGAAAAAATTAAATTCTGTGTAAGCTATTTAAGACTAAAGAGATAAATGATCAGGAAGAAAAAGATTATTATCGTTTTGTTTTAAGACGATGAGCTTGCAATCTAATTTATTACGCTAACACATTAGCTCCAATTTTTGATGTCATCACGCTTCCGTCAAGCAAATTTTTGGCATAAAAATAAGCAGAATACTGTTCCGTCTAGGATAAATAATTTGCGACGATTTTAGATACGTAGTAAAGAAATCGTGATGTTTAAGATGATAAGTTTACAATCTAATCTGTCATAAATAAGATCGATTTGTGAGTAATTCTAAATTCGAAATCACTGCATTTGCTTCGTGTCAGACCCACACTACTAAAAATTAAGTGGAGTATGATATTTGAATTTTAGGATAGTGGGTAGAAGAATATAGATTAGGTTATTGCAGTTGTATCGTCTGCCAAAGTAACAAAATATGTATTTATAACTGGAAATAATCGCAGTCAACTCACCTCCCAAGTTCAAGCCTTATTCTCTAGAAGTAAATCTCTTAATAAACGATAAACCTATCTGCGAATTAAGAAAACACTAATTTGCAAAAATCTAGAGTATAATCGTGTTAACTATGTAGTCCTTTTTATTATCATACGCGTACACGTATCATTTATTATCCATCAATCTAATCTAAATGAAGCAATTTCCGGTTTGTGAAGTGAAACGCTTTAGCCATATGTTTACTCACATTTAGTACGTATATTTAACTCGTACAATGTAATTAACCATAAGCAGATTTATTTCTTCATTTATCCCCATTTATTTCCTAAAGAGATGATGTAAGTCAACGAGAATATAGGTACCTATCCATGTGCTTACAACTTTACGAAATGATACTAATCCTATTCGCTGAAACTGATGGACTATACAGTATAAACTCCTAATGATTCTTTATAAACCGTTAAAAGTAAATTGTCTGTAAGCTATTTAAGACCAAAGAAATAAAATATCAGCAAGAACAAGTAATTTTTATCTCTGTGTTTCAGATAGTGAGTTCGCAATCTAGTTTATTGACGCTAACACATTAGCTCCATTTTTGGATGTCTTTACGCTTGTTTTAAGTGCACTTTTGGCATAAAAATAAGTAGAGCGCTATTCTATCTAGGATAGATGATTTACGATGATTGTAGATACGTAGTGAAGAAATAGCAGGCTTTAAAAAAAAATCTTGCGATACGTACGTTCAATTTTATAAATTTAATACTGTATCAAAATAAAATAAATCACAAGCTCAGGTTAAAATCTGGAACAGGGATTATCGAGTAATATTAAGTTAAGAATGGAATTAAAGGCGTCAAGCTTATGATAAACACGTGGCATATAAAAATAAAATACATGGGAGGAAATATAGA